TTCATCACGACAACGCGCCAGCACACAACGCGCTATCTGTGAAGAGGTATTTGGCAAAAAACAACATTCCAGTGATGGAACATCCACCGTATTCTCCGGACCTAGCACCGTGCGACTTTTTTCTCTTCCCAAAAATCAAGTCTGCGCTGAAAGGGACCAGGTTCGAGTCCGTGGATGCAGTGAAAGCAAAAGCGACGCAACTCTTGAAGAGCATAACACAAGATGACCTGCAGCACTGCTTCCAACAGTGGAAAATTCGCATGGAGCGGTGTAGGGATCGGGGAGGGGACTACATTGAAGGGGATAACATTTCGACTGTCTGATTTTTTTTAATAAAGGGTTAGAGCATGAATCCGGTTTCTTTATTGCCACACCTTGTATTAATACTACAATTATTCACATAACACATGCTGTATATAATCCTACATTGAACCATCCTGTTGTTGATATAATGCTGTATTTATATAATAAATTTCATCAATACTCACTCATGGGGCTGGGCTCTTCTTGAGAAGCTGCCAGTTGTGCAGCTACTCAAGAACTTCCCAGAATTTTATGAAACCCGAATGTTTATTACTGTGTTCACAAGAGCCCTCCACTGGACCCTATCCTGAGTCAGAACAGTCCAATCCATACCATCCCATCCTATCTGTATAAAATCCATTTTAATATTGTCTACCCATCTATGCCTTGGTCTTCCCAGTGGTCTCTTTCCTTCTGGCTTTCCCATCAATATCCTATATGTATTCCTCTTCTCCCCCATTCGTGCTACATGCCCTGCCCACCTCATCCTCCTTGTCTTGATCACTCTAATTATACTTGGTGAAGAGTACAAGTTACAAAGCTCCTCATTATGCAGTTTTCTCCAACCTCGTGTCACATCATCTCTTCGGTCCAAATATTCTCAACACCGTTCTCAAACACCCTCAGTCTCTGTTCCTCCCTTAACATCAGAGACCAAGTTTCACACCCATACAGAACAACAGGTAAAATTATAGTTTTGTATATTCTAATTTTTATGTTTTTGGACAGCAGATGAGAAGAAAAGAGGTTCTGGACTGAATAGGAATAAGCATTACCCGAGTTCAATGCCCTTTCAATTTCCTCCCGAATCAGGTTTTGATTTGTTATCGTCATTCCCAAATATCTGAACTGACATTAAATACATAGGTTACTATAGGACTTTGTCGGTATCTAGATTATAGGCTCCATAGCATCGAATAGTAGAATGAATAGTGAATTGGAAAGGATTTAGAAGGAAGCGGTCTTGACCTAATCGATACACTTTCCTGGAATTTTTCCCCAAGATACTGAGGAAAATCAGGAAAAAAATAAGATAGACTGTATCCCGGTTCAGTGAAACAGGTTTGAAGAATATGGACTGGATTCATTTGGCTTGAGCAGAGTCCCCTGGCAGACTCTTCTGAACCCGATTCTAAATATTTCCTTACCGCTTTCCAGAAAAGGTGGAAAATGTCTTAACTAGCTGAACAAATGTTAGCTTCGTAAGGACAGCTAACTTAACGTTAACTAGGCTCCAATATAGTTCAATATGGATAGAAAGTGGAAATGCCCGACAGCTTTTGTTGGAAGCCTGCATTGTCGATTCCTAGGAAACTTGGTCCAACAAAATAGGCGCTGATAATACGTCATACGGACACGGATAAATATGACTTTCACATAACGCGTACTTCTTGTTACTGTTTAAACAAAGCGTGATAATCTTAAGACATATTTAGAAAGATACCTGTAGTTACTCCGTCATTCCTCAGTTATCAGTGCTAGACACGCAGCACGAAAGTAAAATAATACAGATATCGGTTATCAGCTATTGCTATCATCGGAAATATCAATTTGTATCAGAAATTTATAATGAAACTTCTGCTCATGGGTCATACCTCACGCCTGGGACTAATCCTGCGTCATCGGTCATATCTCACGCCTGGGACTAATCCTGCGTCATCATGACCGATCATGAACATGATGCTGCATATGAACTGTGTTGTCTTTCAAACTAATGCATCACGATTATTTGAAAGCAGATAAGTAAAGACAGTGGGTCGTCACTCTTTCGTCTCATAAATATGAGTGCATTTGATGGTTAGTTGGCACAGGCAGGAAAATGAACACACGTTCAAATGACTTTCGATTAAATTCCGTATTCGAATTCCACGTTATAATTGGAATCGTACAGCACCAATACGATAGTAATACATTCTCTGTATAAGGCGAAATATAAGCTTCACATCTTAACATTTTCTTCATTCCACCAATTCCTCCACAATCACCCTCACCTATCATCTGGGGCTGGTACAACAGGCTAGAAGCGGCCGCAGTACAAAGAACTTAGTCCCACCCCAAGCGGCCTCCGTAGTCTAGGGGTAACGTTCCCACCTCATGACTCGAGGTACGCGGGTTCAAACCCGGCGGAGGTCGTGGAATTTTTAAGGGCGGAAAAATTCAGGGAACAAGTCCTCCGGGAGGGAATTTAAGCCGTGGGTCCCGTGTCGTAGCTTTACGGCACGTAAAAGAACCTCGTGTCTCAAGGAGACCTCTGAGCCAAATTGTAAGGACATTTCCCGCCCAACAATAGTCTCTAACGCCTCTGGTAGATGGGGGAAGCATCTAGATAGATACCGCTGAACCAGTAGAGGCCGAACTCGCTGGCTGAGTCGGGACTGATGGTACGCACCAGTACCGGTAGGGTATAGAGACTGGTAGAATATCACAGGGGGACGTACAATAGACCACTGGTCGCGGTGCATGGGGAAACCCACCCCCTCCAATAATAATAATAATAGTCCCACCCCACTAGCAATAAAAGAATAAACTATGGTTTAAATACGGAGGTATATTACTAAAACTTATATACTTACTAACAGCAGGCTTGTAAAAACATAAAGAGTCCTCGCGGAAATGCCCGAGGCTCTGTCGGAACCAATATTCATGAAAGGAAACCATTCGTACTTGTCACATTACACAGACATAAACCTGCTGGTCTAGTGTTATAAAATATATACAAGTATTAAAAAATTATTATACGAGCATTCCAAATAATCGCTATGTTACATATGTGGAAGTGGAGGTGGGTGCATTGTTGTAGTCGCGAGATGGTCATGCGCATTCCGCAGTTACAGAGTACAGCAGGAAAGCGTTTTAAATGTACTTTCGAAGCTGTGAACCGACTCGCATCGTCTAGCCAGCACAGTGAGGGTTAATTCACACATAGCGAGCTGTGCACCGACTGTGCACCGA